GTGGATCTGCGCATTGATGTGACAGGTGAAAACTTGGATCGCGTTGCGGAACCTGAAAATATTAACCTATTTCAACGATATTTTGCATGTTTAATAACGAGGTCCAGTGACAACTTTTCCGCACTATTGGAAAGTGCTATTGGAAATTTAGATTTTTCCACCCCACCCTACTGCCTAGTCAATGTAAACACAGTGGTTAAAAGACTCCGTCTCACTATCGACTCACCCTTGTCTCTGGATGTTAACATAAATAATGTGGCAAAAGCAGCTTCCTTCCATCTGAGGAACATCACAAAACTTAGAACAATACTCTTACTTCAGAATGCAGAAAAGTTAGTACGTGCCTTTGGACTATGGCAATGCCCTATTGGTTAAGTGTGCCTCTGCATCATCAAACACACTTCAGTTGGTGCAGAATCCTGTAACATAAGTCCTAACAAGGACTATGACATGTAAGCATACTAGTCCTGCACTGCAATCGCTCCACTGGCTTCCAGTTAGGTTTCAAATTACTGCTAACCAACAAGACACTGAATGGTGCAGCACTGTTGTATATTAACCTCTATGATTTTTTCTTTTCACGTCTTACTGGTTCCATAAATCCCACCTTCAAGAGGTGGGCTATACCCGGCGGTGCCTAGAGTGGAATGATCTTTATTTGGCTACAGAGACTTCATTTACATGGCTCCAAAGTATGCAATGGTCTACCAGCAAGCGTCCGACATTAAGTCTCACTCATGATATTTAAATCAAGGCTACGAACTCACTGGTTTAGTGTAGCATATGGTGACAGAGCTGATACTTCTCGCTGCCATCCCCAGCTAGTGCTATAGTGTGTGGCATAGGCTTGGTTTGGGATCAGTGTCATTGATTTTGGATGAACTGGGTGCCCAGTGCTGGTGTCCCAGTGTTTCACGTGTCCCATGTGTCTTTGGAGTGCTGGTGCTCAGGGATTCCTCATGCCTGTCCCCCCCCCCCCCCCCCACCCCACCCCCCAGTTCTGTCACTCTGGATTCACGTGTCCCATGTGTCGTTGGAGTGCTGGTGCTCAGGGATTCCTCATGCCTGCCCCCCCCCCACCTTTCCCACCTAGTTAAGCTGCCATAGTTAATTAGACCTGCCGGAGCCTCTTTATCTCCATGCCGCACTACAAATTACCCCGTCTAATTCCGTCCATTTGTCACAGACTTTTATTAACACCCTGCTCATTCCTCCCCTGCACCACGAGGGATTCTGTCATGGGGCTCCTGATGGTGGGCAGCCCCCTGCCTGTCCACCCAGCCTGACCACACATCTGCCGTCCTCCCCTGCATGCTGCTGCACCGTGCCACACCACCTCTCCGTCCCGCTGAGGGATGCAGCATCTTAACATGCCTGCCCAGACATCAGCATCCAGAACTCCACTGCACCGCCTGCATGTATCCATGGACTATTTACAATTCTGCTACATAAATCAGGACTTTGATATTTCGGGCTTCCTCTACCGACCCCTGGAGGATGGGCTCCCCCTTTGGGTCTGGTTCCCCCCCATGGTTTCTTCCTTCTAGGGAGTTTTTCCTTGCTACTGTTGCCTCTGGCTTGCTCTCTGGGGACACTGGGCAGGGGTAATGTAAAGTGCTTTGAGACAATGTAATGTTGTGAAAATGCGCTATACCTCGTACGAAAATAAATTGAATTGAATTGAATTGAATTGATGTATCCCTTTCCAAAATCACTTTAGCTTTAAGATGCAGTGTATCCAGGATAGCTTATTACCACCTTCACAATATTGCCAAGATTTGCAACAAGCTTTCCACTGCTGATTGAGAAAAGCTTGCATGTGCCTTTGTGACAGCTGGAATAGACTTGTGCAGTGTTCTACTACCAAGCGTGCATACGAGCTGTGTTAAAAGCCCATAAGGAGTTCACAGCGCAGCTGCCAGAATAATGCCTTGCCTTAGCTGCAGAGATTGCATTTCACCAGTTCTCCAAACTCGCACAACAGTAACCTGCTGGTCACCCCCTCAATCTGCTCAAAATATGGAAAGTCAGCTTTCAGTACTACTGCCCTAAGCTATGGAATTCTCTCCTAGTCATTCGTCAGCACGAAAACACAGTAGATACATTACAAAAACACCCGAATATATACATTTTTACTCCATCTTTCAATTAGACTGTGTCTTTACTCCATCAACAAAACCAGGTTGTCGTGTATTGCTAATTGTTGATGTTTTATTTCTTTACTGTCCGTTACATGCTATGATTTTACTTTAATTTCATTTTCATTTTGCTTTACTGTGGTTTTACCTCCAAATGTGATTTTTATACATTTTGCCTTAATCCTTCTTTAAAGCATCTTGTATATCCTTAAAGTAATACTTAAATAAAGCTATTACTGAATAAAGCTATCATGTGGCATAAAATTATGTGGCGATAAATAAAATATTCTGATTCTGTATGTTATGCTACTCGAGCATTACACATGGACTACAATACATTTTAATTATACAATGCATTTACAACATACTCCAAATGCAGAATTGTACAAATTTCTTTGTAACTGTCAATGATTTTATTTACCATATGGTTGTTTTATCATTTCATTTCATTTATTTGTTTATTTATTTATTTATTTAGTTGAATTGGCTCATTTAGTTTATTTGGTTTTTATTGTTTGCTGCTGTTTTTAAATGTGCTCTGTTGCTTAGGGGCTCTGTATTCTTTCTCTCGTAATTGTCTGTGGTAAGGAGAGTGACAATAAAACTTTTTACGTGCCATGTAGGATGATTAAATACAGTCCCAAGATGTTACAGGGACAAGTCCAAAGATCAGATTCTGAGCCAACCCCTCCCAGTCAGCTACTCCCTGTGAGTACGGACAGAGGCCTTACTCTTTGACAGTGGTGAGAGTGTTATCTGGCGGCTGGGTGGAAGAGAAGAATCATACAAGAGAGCAGCATTTTCCATAGGAGTTTCATTCCCTGCAGCAGATACATTCAGTGTCCAGAGGTGGAAATTTCACGTCCATAAAGTAAAAATCCAAGATTTTTGTTTCAACCAGCCAGTTGAGCATAAAGAGTCACTTTCACATAGTACTTAACTGATTGGGTGAAACAAAATCTTGGTCTGGATTTGAACTTTCTGGACATGAAATTTCCACCTCTGGCAGTTTCTGCATGCTCAGCATAAGTTTGCCACTAACAGCATCAGTAGCTACTATTGCTAGTCACTAAGAACGTAAGAACAAGTTCTGCTTGGCATAGGCTAACTCCACAGTGTCGATTTTATGTTTTCTGCATTCTGGACTGGTACACGGTTACCCAAGCTGTGAGCAGTCAGTGAACAAGATCATCTAACAATAGCAATTATCCTCCTGCGTTTGTTACACCTTGGAGTTTTTGGTGGCCAATAGGACATAATCACAGAGTGATGCATAGGCATGTATGGACCAAGGTTCTGTGCGAATGCGGGACCATTACCAGAGGAGCGGAACAGGAATTGGAACCAGGATGAAGCAACAATCAAGGTACCAGAGATAAAGACTAAGAAACATTAATCAAGATCAAAAGGTCATAAAGCACTTACTGTAGGTGAGCATCGAGAAACAGAATCAGAATTATAAAGTTATGTTTTACATTCCGTTTATATTTTCAAAATGGCAGTTTTCCATCTATTTATGCCTTCATTTGTTAGTTCATTCATTATACTTACAGTTGACAACAACATTGACATATTTAACATCTGGGGTGGCAACATCATTGCTGGCTTTGCACTCATATTTTCCCGCCTGGGTCCGTAGGATGCCTGATATATCCAAGTACTCCTCCCCATCCAGAGGCTCAGCTGCAAGAGACAGAACAGACCACAGTAATAGAAGGACATTGATAGATAACAGACATAAGGTAGCAATAATAACAACTGCAACAACAACTTTATTATTATTATTATTATTATATCTTTTTATTTCTATTGTTTTTGTTAATGATCATACTAATAATACATTAATTAGTATTTCAATGCTGCAAATTATTTTATTTATCATTTTATCTGAAAGTGGTGTGACAGCAGGATTTACGCTCACACACAGTGCAGACATTTCACTAGTAAAACGGAATGCAGAGGACTCCAGTATTTATAAGCAGGTTTGCATGAGGCCTTGCCAGTGCAGGTGTGTGGTGAGTTTGTAGCCTCTCCCCAGAGCCACATGTCATGGGACTCACTATCGTTGCGAGGCTCCTTTCTTATTTCCATTTTTCAGAAAAAGTATTGATAATTTTTTTCTGCTGTCGCAGTGCCGTGTTTTCCGTTGCATATGGAAAATCAACTGCTGGCAACATTTGCCTCTAGCAAATAAGAAGACAGATTTGCAGTTTCCACAATGGGTGATCATTGGATGATACAATGGATGCTGCATTCCACATATAGCCTATTTACATCTTGAATCTTATAAATATTGGTTTTGATATAATTAGTTAATGTCCAGGGTTCAGGGCCTCCTGGAACCGGCATCAGGGTCTTCGTGACCGTACAGGAAAAGCAGTGTGGTCGTGATATAAGCCTATATTATCAAAACTAAACTTTCTCTTTTCCAGTTTCTCTCTGGTGTTTTGTCAAAGTCATCTCTTTGATGATTCCAGGTTCCATTTAATAGATTAGACACTTTTTGTCTGGGTAAATGAGATGGATATTGGTTTTTCTAAAAAGACTGTCCTCAGAATCATCCTTATAATTTAGTCTGTGTAAATTTGCATTGATGTTACACTTAAATTACTCAAAATACACTGGCTTCGTGCTTTAATTTAGATCAGAAAAGCAATATCATATTTATTCAGAGAGATGACTATATTGAAATGTGTGTGTCCATTAATTTTCCTTTATTACTCATTCTTTCATATTGCTATTGTACATATTCAATGCTTAATATTCACTCATTTTAATTTCAATTAAAATCTCAATTAAATTGACAAGTGTAAATGGTTTAAGTGGTTTTCAGTGCAGAAAATCAGTTTAGTAAGTAATACAAGTAATTAATGCTCTATTGTCATACATTTTTTAATAATTAAAAAATAATAATCTCCATGGCATTTCTCTCTCATTTTGTCTTCTTTTACCGTCACAGCTCCAGATACAGGCCTGTGAAATCTAAGTGTTGAGTATAATAGGTTTACACTGTAATAATTTGAAGTCCATTCTGGACCAAGGCAATATGATACTGCAAATGGCTCTAACAGAATAATATTCTGCCTTTACACTGTCCCAGAGATGACCTGCATTAATGCTTCCTTATACTATTACAATAAATCTTCCCCCTACTGCTCCCTATCTGATTATTACCTCTGTGCTGACTGGAAATGTTTATCATGTTACTTTTTCTCGCTTGTGCCATCTCATTCCACATGTATCGCCCTTCTCCCCTAAATCAGCAATTCATCACTCCCTGGGGTCAGTATTGTGGCTGCGGGTTCCCATTGCAGTGTCTCCCCCAAACGCCTTACACACTGTGATAGAGTACCAGGGGGTGAAGTAACATCAAGTGCTTTGCAAAGAAGTCAAAAGACGCCTTCCATCTTCCTCAGGACAGGAAAGGAAAAACCCAGTAGGAGCAATATTATCTCAAACTCTTGCATTCAGGACTGAATGCACATTCTTGTGCATACAGTCTGCATATTTCTGAGGATTTACATTTTTCCAAAAGAAGGTTACAAAATCTACTTGAAAGCTTTTCTAAAAGAATAGCCCTATACAGACAAATTGTTTAGAAGAACTGATACATTGAATATAATAAATATAGGTAAATAAGAATTAGTGCACTGAATAAAAATAAGTGAACTGTAAGGTTCAATTACTCTTTGGTAATAATACTAATAAAAGTTTCAATCATTACTACAAATATATATTACCTGTACAAAGGCAATAACCAAGCCCTTGTTAATATACCATACCGTGCCACAATTTAAAGAAACCTCAGAGTAAAGACTTCTGTAATTGCTCAAAAGGGGTGATACTGTAGAAGTAATTTAATATCTTTTGAGATTTATAAATCCTTTGAAAGTAAATTTTAAGGCACAGGTAATCCAATTGGATATGGAAATGGTTGAAAATGATGCCACTGAGGAACAATATTGAAACTGGGTGTAGAAATGAATGTGAGGATCACGTCTCTTGCCATAGGCTCATGTATGTATGCAGTCAACAAAGTGGCCAATGAGAAACAAGGAAAGAAAAATGGAAGAATATTTATTGGACAGTAGGGACAGAGCGATATGAGAATATTATCATTGAAAACTGTAACATACTCATTGAACAGTGATATGGTGATTCAGCAACCAAGATTTAAGGGTTCAGATTGTGTCCGTGTTCAGTGCATGTGCAGTTTATGCACGTTCATCCTGTTCCCCCTGAGGACTTTGGTTTCATAATGAATTCCAAGTACATACCGTACGGTGAATTACTATCTCTAAATTGGCCAATGTGTGTCCTATGAGGGCAAGCATTCTGTCCAGTGCGTTCCCCTGCCTTATGTTTTTTGGGGTAGCCTCCAGGGTAACTGTGAGCATGTATTTGGAAAATGGGTGGATGTTTTTGAGAACAACAATCCATCAGTATCGATATTATGTGACTGGTTACATTAAAAATGTAATTAAAATCTCCAGTGAGCACTAAAAAGAATATTCAAGAAGCAGGGACAAGAAGTGATGTCAGTTTGTGATGGAAATGTGCAAAAAAAGTTGTGAACTTGTTGGAAAAGAAAGATAAGGGAAAAAAAGTTGAGGAGAAAAAAAGTCTAACAGTGTACACTTGAATAGCATCTATCTAAACTGTTAATATACCATAGAGAAACAGAGAGGAGTTTGACGTGTACAGTACCTCATGCGGCACAGGAAACAAGGCAGCGGGACACGTTGGTCTGCCTACATTTGAGTATTAGTATGTAAAATATTTACTGATAACTGTCTAAACATTAAAATTCCTAAATGATTTGTGCATGACAGGAGATTAGTTTGTGCTATAGCAACATAATTTTAACACTTTATCAACATCCTGGGTACTGAGTGCAATAAACAAGAATAAATCTAGCCTCAGTCATCCTTGTACACCTTCATTTCACAATGTACTACCACCCCATCGCAGTCTCAAGTGAACAAACTCAATGATCATTTTCCTCCAGGAAATAGCTGGCTATGCATTTGACTGACCATACAATCATACTCACGCCATGAGGTACAAATTGACTGCTTGAAATTGAACATTAATACTTTTGACTGACAAAATGTTTGCTCCTTCGCGAGTGAACTAGCAAAGAAGCTCAATAATATCTGAGTTTCTAAACGGCAAAAGTATTCAAATTCATGCTTCTTGGTTGGCTGTCAAGAACTGTCATGAATAATTACAATGCAAATTCAGTGTAATCGGATTGCTGCCAATATACACAACCTTTATAAATTTACTAAACTGGCAACTTGCATATCATATAACACAACAATATAACACCTGCCGGCAGTCAACACTTCCGGCAGCCAGGCCTATCCATACCCCGCCTTGGCTTCTCTCAATATTACACATAAATATTGCCTCCTAATTAATCCTCCTAATCTCACAAATAGTCTGAGGATAATATATGTATCTCCTTGAAGGATATATTTTGTGAGGTATTATATCTACTCTTTGCTGAACTGGTGGCCAACTCTGGTTCATGGATTCTTGACTCTTTTCTGGCAGTTCTGGACTTGGCTTGCATTTTGACCCTGACGCTAGGATCATATACAGTATAGTGCATCCCTTTACTCATTGTGAAGCATTAAACCCCCTTACTGTGCCGTCTGACCTTGGAATTCTATAATTATACTGAAAACGCAGAAAACACACCATATCTAGAATGAAAAGTGGCCATCTTGTTTCTCGGTAGAACATCCTGACCATTCGCTGCGCATCCAAACATGCAGACAAGAAAGCCAAAAATGTTTCAATAAATAGAATTCCCTCTATGTCTGCATATGGAACTGCCCAACAAAAGGTGTTCTGGGTACTTTTCAATAATATGCAGTTGTTTTTAATTGTAATAATTTTATTCGCTAAATGCAAAAGTGAAAAGGAACATTTTTTTCTCATATGCTTATAACCTCACCTGTTACCCATCTGATTTTGTACTAGGTTTTCACTGCGCCAAAAGGAACATTTGCAATCAATGAATAAATTATATATCAATTAACTGTAATTAATATAAATACATGCACCTGACCTTAACACCAAATTAACAGTGCATAAACTCTCAAGTCAGTGTGATTGGGTATAAAACATTCTATTCCAAAGACATGGAACAAACCCCGCAGTTAACAAGCTATATAACTCTAAGAGATTACTAAATAATGAATGTACATGAATTTTTTAATAGTATTATGACTTTACACCCCTTTCAATCTCACAGATTTACTATTTGTTTTTTTACAAGTTTGGCCAATTGATCCATTTCATGTATCACTTCCATTTAAGTAACTGTCACATGACACCAATGTTCCTCAGTGAAAAACATAAGATGTTGTCAGTCACTGGTTTCTCTTTGCTACTGTATAGACTTCAATTTGCAAAGAAACATACATGATGGTGAGCTTGACACTTTTCATATTAACAGTGTAACAAGATGTTAATAAAAAATATCTACACACGGGTACAGTGTATGTATGTGACAAATAAAATCTGAAACTAGACTATACCCTACTATACCCGGTCTTCCCTATGAGACATGGATGATTTTCATTAAAAATTACAGCATAGATAAGCTTAGGCTGCCGATCCCACTATGCATATAAAAGAAAAAAATGGCTGAATCGGAACCCACAGGGTCATTAGCGGCAGAAATGCAGAGGTTCTGCATTAGCACTGCATATTTAAAATTAATTATGTATGGTACTGCTGGGGGTTAACGGAATTGTGCCTGATATAGTTACCAGGGATGTGCTTTACCTTTACATCTACCTTTAAATTGTTTTAAGTAGTTTAGGATTTCTGCTAGTCAGGGGTGCCCCCTAAACTGTTTTTTAGCCCCTCCCCCCTCGAAAAAATGTGTATGTACCGGTAAAGACCCCCCCCCCATCCATTCATCTCTAACTATGGCCCTGCTGCTAGTTATATTTTTGGTGAATGTTCTTTTGCTCTGTGGGTGTTCATTGATTTACTGTATATGGTGAGTAATCATCACGTGGCTCACTGCCTTTCGTAATTTAAGTAAGCAAGTAAGTAACCATAAATAACTGCATATGTGTGTGTCCACATGTGAAATACTGGTGGACCTTTTTCCCACATGCTCATGCGGGCTCTTTCGTGCGTACGTGTAATATTTAATAATATAGCGATATCACAAGAACGGTTAAGCTTGCAGCTTATCCAAAGCAGATAATTTAATGGTGGGTGGCATGGTGGATAACTGGATGGAAGAGCAAAATATCAGCAGGGATTTTCCATTTTTCACATGCTATTAATGACAAAGTAATTTAATTTTGAAGTTTCACTATGAACACAAAGAAAACTACCCTTGGATAAGCCTCAGACCCCCATGACCAAGATAAGCAGCTAGAAGGTGGGTGAATGGATGGATGGATGGACAAAGAAAACTAGGCCTGCAAGAGGAATGTAATCAATTATTACTAAGGTCCATATTTTACCTGACAATAACCGAAAATTTACAAGTGAGGAATGCTTTATTTTTTATTATGATCTAGCTACCAGTAAACCTCATAAAAAGCGGAGTAAAACAACCTAAACGAATAGACACAGACATGATTTTTAGGCATGCTAAAAATGGTGATTGGAAATACTGTCCATTCTTCGTCAGTATTAATGTGAGTGATTACATTCTGAACACAGAGACACGCAAGCCCGTGACTCAGCAGTGCTCGTACCTGATGGATTGAGCAGTCTCCATGTGATGGTTGGATCTGGCCTCCCACTGGCTAGACAACTCAGTGTCACGTTGCTGCCTTCGTTGATAATGATGTCTTCGGAAACTTTATAGATATTTGCAGGAACTGTAAAAAAAAATAAATGCATAAGCTTATTACCATGAGATAGACAACTTGAACCATTCGTGCGCAGTTACACAGCAGAAACTAGGCAGTCATGGTGCTCGTTTAGCCGCCCGTTCTGTTGATTGTTTTCTGTTTGCCAGAAGAATCCTTTATCATGCAAATGAATCTCAGTAGTAATCTAGGTTTTATTATGACAATTGCAGAAAAAAAAACAATTGGTAACACTTTACTTGAAGCAGTCTACATAAGGGTGACATGTGACCGTGATAAGAATGACATGACACATGTCATGTTATGACTGTTGTCATAAACATCACTGTTGTCATAGTGTGTCATTCGGTTTTTGGAACTGAATGACACATTATGACGGTTACACGTCACCCTTATGTAGACTGCTTCAAGTAAAGTGTTGCCAAACAATTTAAATTAATAAAATCATACCAAACTAGCATGAATATGCCCTGATAAAAAAAAAATTAGGGGAGAAGATGCAATACTTAATTGTAATTTCTTTGACACCATTGAAAACAAATGCATTCATTCATAAATTGGTAGGAACAAAAGGAAAAACAAACTGACCTCAATGTTCTCCAGTGGCTTAAATCATGCAGAGAAATTATATAGCTTGCTGGTAGTGCAGCTCCCTGCCATATATTCAGACTGACTTAAAAAGCTATAATATCCTTCTTAACCTCTGTCACCAAAATTATCTCATTAACATAAACCTTGGTAAAGATTCCAGTCATTAATTTTTAAGACCTGCAATGAATTAAGATAATAGCAATAAATAAAGGGTGTTTACGTAAAGCCTATTTTGCTGGGAACCTCTCACTGTGTTTGGTGCAGCTACAGTTTGTGGGTTAAGGGCCATAGAGAACGTCTTGTCGCTCTACTGACTGTGACTAAAAGACATTCGGTACACAAGGAGGTGAAAAATGAACAGCCGAGTGAATATGATTTCCCTCTGTTTCTGACGCGCGGTGAAACCTTTCCATTAAATTAGGAAAAATGGAAGAGGCAGGAGGTGGCAATATAGTTACCACTAACAAAGTGAAAAAGTGGGCCGCGGCATCTTGATGTAACTATAGAGTGCACCACTAGTTCGCCAGTGTGTCCTCAATTTCAGACAGTGAACAGGGTTCTTGTGACAGGAACACTGATGGATTTTTTTCTTTTTTTTGGAGTTGTAAAAAAACTAGCAGAGCTGGCTAAAAAAGAAGTATGAATTAAATGCAAATGTAGTATTGCTACTTTGTACTGCAAAGTGGTATTATGAATAATGTATGAATGAAAGAGCCCATAACAGAAGAGTTCAATCATAATTAATAAGTAAATAGAGAAAATGAAAGATATTTTTCTGGTTTTCTTAAATGGAATTCACTTCCAATTATAGTATAAGGGGTTGAAAGTGCTAAAATATTATCAATTAAGAGATGGGTTAAGCTATATATTGGTTAACTTGCTGCTGGCATTATGTTCAAATAAATACCGTAAATAAACTGCAAAGAAAAAGATTTCTGAAATTCTTTAAAGTCATGCACTTCATTGGAGATGCAACATTCCACAGCAGAGCAGACGTAGTATATTCTTAGGGTATAAGGGCATTCAACCACTCTCCTTCTTTGGTTTAGCATGATGTTTTGTACAGTAGCCATTAAACCAATCATTTCACAGGCATGAGGGCGCTGGCACACGATTTCCAGGAGATCTGGAATTACTGGCAGGAGTCGGGGGGGGGGGACTGATTTCTGGGAGGCTGCCGGAAAGAGGTGGGATGACTGTCTAGACAAAGCAGTGGACGAGGACATGGAGGAGGTGAAACTAAAGGCTTGCAGAACATTTACGCAGAACATTTACGCAGAACATTTATGTTCACCAGCTAACTTTAATCACACATTTATAGGAATTCCCATTGAATATAATGTGCAGGCTCCATGGGGTAATGTTACTCTATCATTATTTTGAATGGAATCTACAAGAACTTTTAATTTTCGTATTAAATATAAGAAATCTCTGACCGCTTCCTTGAATCACCGCTAATTAGGAAGATGATGGACAGATTTAGCGTTGGGCATCTACCTAAGCTTAGCAGCATCTAGGGGCTAACGTTAACATTGTACCATTCTCACTAAATCATTAAAGTGGGTAGAGGGTGCTAACGTCTACAGTAATTCAAAAGCCCATTCTGCATGAACGATGCCACTGTCAGCACTATATGGACTCAACAAAGGAGCTAAAGCATTCGGCTGTGACGCTGGCCCATGGCAGTAAGGACTTTCTTTGTGGGCATAGCATCTAACTTGAAATGATGAAATGATTATACTTTACTGATCCCGGTGGGGAGGTTCTCGTTTCACCTACCCCATCTTGGTCTGCAAGCTTGGCAGTGAAGGGCAGCCACCCATAGTAGCGCCCAGGGAGCTGGGGGTTAAGGGCCTTGGACAAGGGCCCACAGATATGCTGAGGCCGGGCTTGAACCAGCAACCTGGTTAACATACTGGTTAAACTGGGTCTAGTGACTCAAGTGGATCAAGCAAAATATCAATAGACTATGATTTTAGCGGACAGCTGTAGCTAAACCCCACAATTTACAAAATTTATTTTAACCTTTTATTTAATATTTATTTCATATATTCAGACTTACACAGTTTATGTTTTGTGAGTTGCCTTTGTTCTGTCTTGTCTTATTCTGTTACACATTACTGATTGAATGTTGCAAGTAAGATTTCCTATGTACTGATATACAAAAGGCAAACGAAGAATCATGAACCTTAATTTCTCACGGTCACCATCAGAGGCAATCATGAGAGCTCTCTCCACAAGCCACGTTCCCCATATATCATGACTATGTACATTGGACTGTTACTCCAACTCCCTTTTAAAACAAGTCATTTTCAACCAATTTCTCATCTGTGTAGAAACACACTAAATGGCTCGATTTAAATGGGGCAACTCAATCTGTTGGAAATATAAAAATATAATGAATAAAATATGAACAGGAATCTTTCTTGGTTCTAGTACTGGTTTTCCCTACCGCACCTTTTCATAACAGGCACAATAAAGTCTGACAGCAGAGACCTTGGAAATGATGACAGCGGAGACAATGACCACAGTCTTGGTGTGCGGTACAGGACTGGTGTGATGCATATCTCACAAGAGGGGAAACTGCCTGCATACACTTGTGAAAAACATTTACTGGATAATACTCTCTTTGGCCCTTTAGCATAACATTTCATTAACTAGCACAATCCCTAAACCACCAAAAAGAAAACAAACTATTACATTCAAAAGTAAGACAAGGCTACATTTTAGTATTGCATGTAACCTTCCTACTGATGCATTCATCAGCTATGGAATGAGCTAAGGCCGTCTCATTAAATATTACGACTTCCATCATAAACATATTAAACCAAACTGTGCAATAAACATCACATCCTGTTTTTTCATTCTATACTCACTTCACAGAATCACTCAAAACGTCTTCAAATCCATTTCTAGATCTCATTTCACGAAGCGATTAAAAAGCCTAGTTAACATACTCACATTCTGACGGCATTTAGGTCTAACAGTGATTCTACAAGTTTATGTACTTTCTTAACTTATTTCTGATTGGCTGTTTTCTTATATTCTAACAATTATCATGGTTTCTATCCAACTTTACTTTCAGTCCTTACCACCCAATGAGGGAAAAGAGAAAGAAAAATCTCTCACTACATAATGCAAATAGTCAAGTCTGGGAGTCTCTGCCGTTGTGAAGCTCTCCTCTAATAAGATGGGAAAAGGTTAATTTTGACTGATCTGACTAAGTAGGGAACCTTATTGAGCTCAATTACTTGTTATTGAAATTATTTTTTGACACTTGGTGCCTTATTGTAAGAAGCATTATCCTTCTGAAAAAAAAAACAATCACAAATGGATACACTCCTACAACAAAGGAATTCACCTGTTTGTCAATCGTTTTCAGATATCCTGGGGGATATTGCTCACCTTTTCTTTAAGGGGCTTAATGGGTTCCATGAAAACGTACCCTATACCATCACACCCCACCAGTCGGCAATGAAGATACACGATGCACCAGGTCTCTCATCCATTTGCCACAGTAGGAACTGCAACACTGTAACATCATACCAAGCAATGTTTTTTTTTTTCAAATCTTCGGTGAATAATGTTTTCAACGATTATCCCACCGCAAATGCATTTCCTTTTACTCTGAATGAAGTGGAAGTAGTATCATATTGAGTAGATCATAGCTTTCACATAAATTGATGCAGTTCATCTGCCTTGTGCCCCATGCAGTCCGGAAAATTCTCCAGCCTCCCCAAGCCCCTGGCCAATATAAGTCGGTGGAAGATGAACAGATGAAGTATTTAAGTTACGATTCTAAAAACCAAAAAGTAGCAGCCAGTTATCTAGATTCATGACTTTTCTATTACGGTCTACCTTTTATTTTTTTATTTCATTTAACTCATTTCCATTTATCTTGTCTTAGAAGTGACACACTAGAAGTTATAGCAACTTTTTATATATTTCAAAAAATGTTTCAGCATACGTCTCGATACTTGAGAAAAACCTTTGAAAAGAAATGTGCTGAATGCATACACTGCAGTTTTAACACAGCCTGACAGTTCCTGTTTTAGGTGACAGGAAGTGCCAACTCACATTTCCATCCAAAGTAAATCATCTTTATAGGTGGTTATAGTCCTGCGTTTTTGTGGGTATTTCATTATTATTATTATTCTTATTATTGTAATTTCTTGTGTGTTTATATCTACGGAGCCCCCAAAGTCCCATAGAGTGATTTTTTTTAAATCATGTGTGCACAAGAAAATAACTTGTGCACACAAGGTAACTAACTTGTAAGCTCACGATTAAATAAATCACTCAATGAGACTTCAGTGGCTCCGTAATAAAGTAGAAATCCAGACAAAGATTTTGTTTCAACCAACCAGTCGAATACTCTGTGAATGTAACTCTTTATACTCAACTGGTTGGTTGAAACAAAAGCTTTGTCTGTATTTCTACATTCTGACCCTAAACTTTCCACTTCTGGCTTATATTAATTTCTTTCTTTCTGTTCTTTTAAAATGTCTTTTTAAAAAGTGCTTTTGTATACCCTGTGGCTAAAACAGTGTTATATAAATAAATATTGATTACCGGCAGATTGATCACCATTCATACAGGATATGTCCTCCTATCATGGTGCTACAGTGTCTCAAATCCAACCCCCAAAATCAGCTGTGTTCCACACAAACACCAATGTGTCATCCCATCTCACAACAGCAGGCAAAACACAGAGGAATCCAGCGCATTCAGAATTTGCAGCAAATGCTTTTCAGACTGACTGTATTGATATTAGTTAGAGTTAATCAAAACTGGGTTGACATGGCATGTATTACTAAAATACGTGCTAATTTAACACTTTTGTACTTGTAGCATAAAAAGTTATTTCTCAGCAAGACACTTTGTGAGCACTACAATAGTTCTACTGTTACCAGGGGTTATTTGAGGGTGGACTGAGGAGAGCCTGCTATGATGATTTTCAGAAGTGCATGGTTGCAATAATGTGTTATGCCGTGCATCATTGTATTTTGTATGTAGTTTTATAAGTTTTCACAGAATGAAAATAGAACATCCTTTGACATTGGTGCCACCATAGCAGAGCAATTACATAACGATAAAACAAACAAAGAAATAAATAACCTGAAATTATCTAAAAATTATACAGAAAATCTGTGTTTCGTGCAACATTACAGCTATTTCTCTTGGAAATGGTTATGTATTTAATAGGTAAAGGTGTTTTCTGAAAGCATAGACGAGTAACACAGCACATTCTTCACCAATCTGGCCTTGCAAACCAGTGACTAAGACCAGGACACCATAACTGACTTCCTTCAGCATATAGACCTAGCTGCCTTTAGTTGGCCGGGCATCAACATCATTTTGAGGCCTGTTTTCTAAGAGTAACATTTTGAAACCGAGGTGATAGTTTTTAAATCTACAAAATGTACAAGAAATGAGAAAACCATGAACATTGTTTGCGAAAAGAAATGTGTAGAAGAATAGATGTGTTTCAGAAAATGTAGATGTGATTCCTTCACTATCAGAAATACAGAAATCCTTAACGTAAAACAGTGCAGATCCTTGTTAAGTTACCAGCATCAGCTTATAGTCCCATTTAAATGCATGAGGTTTCTTTCTGCCAAGCATGAAAGAAAAGATTAAAGGAGATGCCTTTTCCCTAGTTGCAGTAAGGCCTTCAAGGAGAAAACGGAATGTTAAATTGTTTCCTGCATTAAAACATAAAGCATTCTGTTTCATTATAGGGTTCAAAGACGCCAGGCACTGTGAAGCATTTGGAAACATTATTCTTTCCACTCATAGACAATAAAATCAGACCAAGGTTGAAATAATGAGAGAAATAAAGTGACTTCTGCATTCTTCAGAAGCACCAACGGTAAACAGCTCAGCAAGTAAGGAGTTAACGAAGGACCTCACAACATCCTTGGAATAAGCCAGCATATACAACACAATATCGCTGAAAATGCTATGTCGATAAAGAACATTTCAAACATCAGGGGGCTTGTTTTCTGGAGTGGTGCTGAAAGGTTTAAATAGTCCCCTGATAGTCCTATATAAAGGTCAGTCTTCTACACTTTCGAAAAACAACAATGTATTCTTCATTACCACAAAGACTTGCACTGTACATTTTATGCTGCATCGTTTCCTAAAAATTTCCCATTACTCAAGGAAAAACATTGAATCTTTTAGTTTCGAAGAGTATACATGTTTAATATCTTGTATAATTATAGTGAAAATAGTTATGCTCATTAAAGAAAAGATAAAAAGAAAAAAAGTGAAATACATGTTTCATACTGGTGATCCTAAATGGGAAATTGTCTTAAAATTTGAATCAGATATTACATGGGACAGTGGTGGTCTAATGACTAAGAAAACATGCTTGTGATTGAAGGGTTGCTGGTTTGAATCCCCAACCAGTAAGGTATTCCTCCCACACGTTTCTCTCTGGGTGCTTAACTACTTGCCCATCGCCATGTCATGTATGGGTTAAATGCAACATTTCAATGATGTGTGTCAACAATGATAATCAATTGCTTTCACTTCATTGGTGACTAAAGGATAGTAATTGAAGAATTATATCACTGAAACTACAGCAGAATTTAAGCACAAGCCAGAGTACCGGAGCAGTTCAATGTCAGAACCAAACACGCTCTGTGTCATCTTCACTTTTTAATAAAAATAAAGCACAAAGTGGTTCACTTACTCTAGTTAATTTAACAAAATCAAAAGCCAAGGTAGCTATAAAAAATACCTAACAACCACATGGATTTTACATAAATTTCCTTCATACATTTTATATAATGTCGTGTCCCTTTTCTTCTTTGTGAGCTATGCCAATTATTCATGAGAAATATTATATTTACATAATTGTTCATTAAGAAACAACTTATTCTATCCGTTTATAATTCAGGAAAAAATATTTTATTGTTATCTTAAAAATCCTTTGCCCTTAGCAGGAAAAAAAAGAGCGTCCAGATTTCCTTGATTTGTATATTGTATTTTAGCTTGCAGAATTGTAGTTCTTCTGAACTATCCAAACTCCTAATTAAAATGCATGTTCAGTTGTTCAGGTATGTAAATGATCAGCAAGAAATTGAACTTGCCATTGCTGTAAAAGCACAGCTTCACGTATGTCCTTCATAATAGAAAGAGGCTGTTGGAACAGCAGCAAATCCCCCTCCCATCTCATCCTTTACTCCTCCACTCCTCTCATCCGCTAAAATTTCTAGCAGCACTTGATAGATTAACTGGAAATGTGAAAGCCACTTAATGTGTTCCTACCTAAATGCTGTGACATGTAACTCTGAAATGGTACCTACTGTATTCACTTATTGTACATTCTACTCACAGTACAGTACATGCCAAATTGCAGAACCTTTCCCCAGCAATTAGGTGGTTACCTGTATTTCTTTGTGTATGTCTTAATATACACATATTAAAATGTCATTAACATTATTTATATTTTTATATGTTTATATTTTTCAATTCTATTTATTTCTCCTTTGCACTAGGGCCAATATTTTCTGTGACATAACAGTAAGAACTGCAATAGATACATTAAAGGCTGGTTCATACTTCTCCGCACACGCACACCGCGTATGCACGCACAGAAATGTTCATACTTCTCCGGTCAAGCCGCGCACTTTGCAGTTGCGCACAATGTGTCGTAGAGGAAACATATTGTGCGCATGCAATATGGATAGTGAGGAGGAAGAGCTTCTCTGTTGTCAGCTTCTTCCTTGACAAAAAAAGAATAGGAAAACAAAAACACTATTGTCAGGCTTCTAAACAGGGCGTGATTGTGTGACAGTTTCCATGTTGGTGAAGGAGATGCACCGGGTCGACAAGGAAAGGCATCAAATATATTTTCGGATATCTAGAGCCGGATTTGAGAATTTGGTGTATCGCACCTTTTCTCATATTCATCACCTGAACGCACACAAGTCACCTGTTGGTGTTTCAGAGAGACTGGATGCTGCATTACGCTACTTGGCATCAGGTAGTTCACGGTAAGCTATAGACTAGGGAAATCTACCGTGGGCATTTTCACATTTTATGTTTGAACTATTTATGAGCTCTGCGTTATGCTCTCATGGATCTCTCTAATCAGGCATCACCTGGCATGATATTCATGCGTTCAGGTTCTCACGCAAGAGGTCTCATGGAAAATCTATATTATTCTGTAATAAACATAAAATTACCTATATCAAAAGCTTTGTGGTAGTTTCTAAACCATACAGACTTAAGCTAATAAAACTTTTACATACAGTACATGTAAATGCATGTGCATGTGTATGCAGACATGTCTTGAACTGAAAATCTCACCCCAGCCAGCAGACCAAAGTTGGCAACCCTGCGCTGATATGAACTTTAGCAAACTGTCATGTTATATAAAGTAGCGCACTCATATCCACATAGGATCTGAAACTGTGGGTATTTGCAAACACTTTAAGTTACTTTTCCTGTGTACTTACATACCTATGATGAAGTTTATTTTATAAATTACATTGAGACTGCAGTTACCAAAGCAGTGGATATGGGGGTTCTACTACACTATATTCTAGTAATGATAGCTAACTAAAACAAAGAGTTAAGAGCCACTACTACAGTAGCAAAGATCATTATGAGTACCAGGATCTCCACATGTGGAGAGTGAATCATGGAAAGACTTTATACATTACTGAACAGGGCTGTGACTTTCATCCTCAGCTCATGCTGTAGTACAGCACAGGTTCCGCGAGTCTGCAGATTGTGGATAGATTCAGGCCATTTTGCGCCAATGGTCATTGCCACTGACAAGCAACTCAGGTTCGCAAGCAAGGTACACCTTTGAGCCCATTCTGCCATCATGACCCAATGAACCATGAAACAAATTACACAAGTTACACATTAAATGAGTTTATTTGAAGCCTAAATGCACAAGTCAATGGAAGAGCTGCCAGGCTGGGATGAAAGCCTACAAAACAAGTAGGACTGAAGAGCAGTGAAGGCACAGTCAAGTCATTCTTCAGTTTCCAGCTCAACGTTCAGCTGGAAGATTAGTTCCCTAGAATAGAACAGATTGCATGTCAGTTGCCCAAATGGAAGCTTACTCATGATACAAGAGCTTTGGCTCACCTGGAATAAAATGCTGCAACCAGCTGCTTCTAAGGGGCCAAGGCACTTTGAGCAGATGCTGAGCCAAGATGGTACACTTGCTTTACAGACCCACTGCTACCCAGACCTGAGGCAGCTTGGGGAGCAGATGCTTGAACAAAGCCAGGAACCTTGTTAGAAACCAAACTGGCTGAGGTGCCAGAGTCCTGCAAGGATCCTAGGCTCTGGACACTGGGATAGCCCTGCCAAGACCCTACAGCTTTTTGGAATAGGGGTCCACTACTGCAGTTGCCCTGCTGAGACCCTTGTCCCTGGACACTGGGAAGGCCTTTCTGAGACCCCGGCTGCTGGACACCAGGTAGGCCCTGGCCAGCAGGGTAGCCCTTCTGAGACCCCAGCTGCTGGACACCAGGTAGGCCCTGGCCAGCAGGGAAGCCTGGTTGAGAGCCCAGCTGCTGGACACCAGGTAGGCCTTGCCCAGCAAGGAAGCCCTTCTGAGACCCCGGCTGCTGGACACCAGGTAGACCCTGGCCAGTAAGGGAACCTTTCTGAGACCCTAGCCTTGCAGAGTCCACAAATACTG